ATTTTGATATTACAAAATACAATCACCTAACTATAGCGTCGAGGTATTCATCAAAGACCACGGTGAGAGTGAACAGGTTCAACAAACTCTGCAGAATGTTATCAGGTTTTTTTTCTATGTTGAATAATTATTGTTTTAAACAATTGATTTTATAAAAGAAATAAACGTTTTCTTCCGAAAAATCCACCATAGAATCTTAAAACAAGGTACATAGCCCCTGTGTACATTTTTTGTTTTTTTTTTTTAATAACATTAATTACCTATTCTGTCATATATTTAAAAATAAAATTGGGTGTCTTATTCAATTGCTTTTTAATTAAACTGGATCTCTTTGTACTACCAGTTCTGAAAAAAGTTTTATTGTTTTAAACAACAACAAAAAAATGAGTTTCCTGGTTTACTTTTTATTCCAAATAAAAATCAATTTAACTTTTAAAACTAACTCTTCTCTTTGTTAAATAATTCAAATAGTTTTGTATTTTAAAAATCTATTCAGTATTATTAAAATATGTATATAAGACTCATGAAACTCACTCAACTCTGAACTCAAATTCGTTTCGTAGGTTTATAGATCATAGGTAATTGTAGCCATTGGCAGGTACCTGCCTACTTACTGCGATATAATATATAACAATATTAATACAGTTCATGACGTATATTATATTTAATATAAACTATTGACGCAGAGTATTTATTTACTTTTTATTGATAGTTTTTTAGCTTCGGTGACGTGGGTCATTAGCTTTATACATTGTTGCATTAATACATTAAATATGTTTTTGGGTAACAATTTGGTTACAATAAGATGGGGGGATTTTGTGACTTATTACTAAAATCTTAGGTAACTACTTAAATGTATTTCTCTATTTCGATGGAACTGAGGAATGACATGACTTTTTCTGGTTAACACTCGGGTCCAATTATTTCATATAAGTTCGTTGGTATATTAAGTTTTTCCCTTTCTTCTTCATTTGATCGACATTCTGTCATCAGGTGTTTTACTGTGAGGGTAACTTCACATGAGGTGCATTCCGCCGGTGGTTGGTTCTTCATGAGGTGTTCATGTGTGAGGTGGGTGTGGCCGATTCTGAGTAGGTTTATTATTATTTCTGTTTTTCATGAGGTTTATTTGTATTGTGGCCAGGGATTTATGCTTTGTTTTATTTCACGTAATTTGTTGTTTTGATTTAACCAGTGGTTTTGCCATATATTTTGTGTGATTATGTTTAATGCAGAGTATGTCACTAAATGTAAATCGAACCAGCCGAGTGCCTTATAGTCGTCAGTCGTCCGACATAATTCCGATGGGTAATAACATATCGAAAAGTGAGAAAAACACGAAAGGTATTCCCAATCCAATATTTTTGTATAACTTTGTAAGGCCTGGTCACCAAACTAGCCACTAACTGTCAGCTGACGAATAATACACTAATATATAGTATTAATAATAATTTCAATAAATAATACAATAGTTGTAATTTGCAGTGAATATATTTTAACATTCACTTCTTATTAGACATTTAGCAGTTATTGTTTTATATACTTTTAACTTCCAAGTATAGAAAAAAAATGTACAAGTAAAGGTTTCGGCATTTGCCTGGTCGGTAGTACTTAAATATGCTTCTAAAAAACAAACACATAAACAATACATAATATTTTGTAACAAATAATATTGTTGTACTTGTATACGTAGGTACTATAAGAAAACTAACAGACATCAAACGTTCACAGTACACGCGCAGGTGCGTTTTTATTATGAAAAAACATAATTCCAGTACCCGTAAACACTTGACATCCGTTTTAATATTTCGAAAGCATTTTATATTTTTATTTATTTTATGAATGCGAATGAAAATCTATAAATATGTCCTCCTTATTATATTATGCCTACCATTATATGAGTATACACAAATACACAATGGTAACGGTTTGCGAATACAATTGTAGATACTCGACATTCTAAAAGTAGTTATGCCTACATAATATTATATTGTTACAAAACAACATGTATAATGTTATGATGATTAAAAAGTTTCCTTTGTCTCCGAACATATATTAAAACTCTTGAACCGTATATTCGCTATCAGATGTTTGCACAATTCATTATTGTACACAACGTCATAATATATTATTACATCGCTGAAAACAATTATAATAAATATATTAGGAAGGTAGCTAGTTAGGTATATGAAAATTCCAAATAGTGGGGCAGTGAGTACAACAGACATCTCATTAAGAGGACGCTACACCCGCATGTGTTGTCTCCGTCTTACAAATGTACAACATAGAAAAAACTGTTTTGCGAGGGAAAGAACCGAAAAGGGTACAGTCATAACTAAGAAACAAGATTTGCACCACTTAAAAAGGAGAGCTTTGGCTGTGCAACGTTGTTTTTGTTTTTTTTGATATCATTTATGTAATTATGTGAAAAAAGTGTTTCAAGTTTGAAAAACACAAACAATAATGGTTTTTGAAACAGTTAGGGTTTTATGAACAATGCTGTGCTAAATTTAGTTTTCTAAAGACAAAAAGTAAAAATGTACTGTTTAATAATTTGAAAAATTATCATGAATCAGATTGTAAAAATATTATTATTTTTAATATACATTTTTAGAGTAAAACATGTTGATACATGAAATTACTCAAGATTAAATTGCATTGTAAAATAGTTAATAGATAAAGTTAATTAATTATGCGAACATTAAAGAGTTCGTTTGTCGATGTTCAGTGTTCACGCCGTTCACGGCAGAGTGTGATCTATGAGTAAAGAAAAATCACGAAACAATTGCAACCCAACTATGTTACGAAACGATAAACTAAAAAAAAATAATTTTTGGTCCAAAGTATAAAAAATATTAAGTCTATAGACTTAGACCCGGAATATTTTCAAAAGTATTGGATGGTTTATCTTTTTATGAACAATTTAAAATTATAAATATGACCTATAAGGGTTTATAATATATACCTACAATATAATATCAATTTAGCCCACCGACAGCCGTGCACAAGCTACGGTATACTTATCGTTCTCCGTGATTCAACATTACTTTTAAATGTACAATAAAAATACCCACAATCCTGATCGAAGGTGTGAGAATCAAAATGAGTATCCCAACACCAAGTGAGCTGAGGATCACCAGATCGCCTGTATCCTACCGGAATTCTTTTTGAACTTAATGCGTTTGACGGCGCAACGTTTAGGCAATAGTGGTACATAGCTGTGTAGAAAACCACTTAAAGAGTATATTATTCAATATTGACACATTATTATATTACTTTCCTCGTGTATTATATTTTTTTTCTCCATGCCATGACCGTCATTTTCAGCGACTTTAAGGATAATAGTCGAGTACTCGAGCTGTGCTATGTTATGTGCTGACCATTTAACAGGTCTGTCCCGTACTTTCTTTGTCCGAAATCCACGATCAAGTTTCTAGCTAAACATATTATAACCTTAAATGTTCATGAAATACTGATTTGTTATTTTTTTTTAATTTTTACTTAGATGAATTTTCTGAATAGTATTTCATACCACGGAAATAGATATATTTTGCAGATCATATTAACTATAAAAACTATTGGCTTAATCGGAAATTTGTCACTTAAAATGAGAACCGACCTTTTTATTTTTAGGGCTCTTGCAGATTTCATACAGTACAAAAGATAAAAACAATGTTTTTTTAACAATGTCTCTATTGACTCTATTATTAAGATAACAAACAGATCAAGTTGATCAAAGTTTGGTTTTTTGTATATTTCATTCTTTAATATAGAGTATTAGAGTCAAGTTCAATTTAATCATAATTTTTTACTTTGATGTTTATGTTTCTGCTTTTTTTTCTGTGAACCCTTTATTCTATCTAATGATACATGAAAAATCTAAAAAACTTAGTTAGCATAAGCGCAACTAAGGGGGTCTAAATTCTAAACCTCCCTTCCCCAATTTGTAGTAGATAAAACAATTTGTTTTGTCCTGCCCAGACATTTTTTCAAAAAATGGTGAAATATTAAGTCCTGTATGCTGGGGAAAAACCCAAATGAAATTCAAGGTCATGATCTCCAAATATTTCGTGTTACCTTTGTCGTTGAACACACAGTATATGGAGGATGTAGGGGCAATACCCCCAAGGGTTAATTTTCATATAAAATCAGGCGGGCGCTACACCATCCCCCGAAATTTAAGCCCTAGTTGAGGCAATAGGTAATGTAGTAGCTGGTAATGATTTTTATCAGTACGTTCAATTTGAATAACTGTAACGTTTATTTAATATACTAATATGGGATTCTTAGGCAAATTTGTTTTTATGAAATTTTTAATTTATATACTGCAAACTCGAAATAGATATAATATAAAACAAAATATCTTTTTTTCTAGACTGTCAGATATTTTAATTTGAAACGGTTAGATACACATTTCTCTTTCATAAGAATATATTAATGATTTATTTATAGCAACTTGCAATAGAATGGTATACATTTTTGATCTTATATTCTTATTCAAGTACAAATTATTACAATAAAGACATCTTGGAGATAATATTTAAAACTTTAAAATAAACTGAGTCTGAGTGATTTTATACTTAAATGTGAAGTTTTTAGAACCACACATTTCTAGCAAACAATTGTGAACATTTTTATTAAATCGCCGTATGTATAAACATAAATATATATCATGGTTTAAACATATGCCCAACATAATGAAAGGAATATTGAATTACCACTAACCAGTTTTTCATATAAATGATTATAATGTTAAAATTAATTGAATGTTCGTCATTATTATTTATTTCTTAGCCAAAGTTGATAATAATATATATTATATCATAATATATAATTAATAATAAATAGCATTTTATATAATCACAAGTTAATATAGTTATGCAATTTATTAATTTGTTTAATCATAACTTTTGATGTTTTATGATATATTTTGTTCATAAATTATAAAAAATTGATGTTCATACAACTTGACTGTTCATACTCTTTTTATCTTGTTATAGCGCAAAACATGGTTTCCTTAACTGTGTGTATACTACAAGTAAAATAAAGTGTGGAATAGAAGAAGCTATTTTTATAAGAAAAATTGCTGATACATTATCTGAAAATAAATTTGTGTCATCAGCGTGTAGACATATTGAATTGGGACATTGCAACATAGCTCAACAAACAGCATACAGTGTATTCACAATAATGTTTAATATATTTATAGTTATACGGTATTACAAAATATAATGTAAAAATATCTTGTGAAAAAATGTATTTTATATTTTCATTGTAAACAATATGTTAACATATGTTATATTGGTAAAACTAACTAGTATAATATAAAGGATACACAAGGAACGTAAGTTATCAATAAATTATTACTTTTAAGACTCTATGTTTTGTCCTTTCAAATTTTATGTTTTTAGCTATTAGTTAATAAATAATAATTGATGAAAGGTAAATAATTTAAATACAGTTGTAGTTTTTTTAATTGAATAGTTACTATTTATTGCAAATAACTACATTTGTCGAGCCAGGACTAAATTTTTCCTGATAACTGCTTATTCTGTATCCTTTATATCACAGTTCATGGTGTACATCGATCATATAATAATATAATGAGATCATAAAATAACAGTGATTATTATGTAAATTATAAAAAAATGTAATCAAATTAATTTTTTTTATATACATAATATTTAAGTAATATAACATGTTCCCAATTTAATTCTTCACGTTGATTTTTTAGTAGTAGTTGGCAATAATTGATCAGAACTATGTTTAGAGCTTTCTTTTTCAACGCCAATCAATAATCCGGCCAGTCCATACATAAGGGATAAAAATAATGCAAGTGATTGAACGATTACATAATGAGATATTGACATCCCTATATCCAGCCAACTGCCAGTATTTTTTATTAGAAATAAAAAATGAAGACCCATTATGTTGGACATGGCTAACATTAGAACAAACACATTGATTGGAGGTATCTAAAATTAAAATATTTATCTTAAATAATTGATCATTTATCTCTAATGAAAAAAAAAGTAAACCAACCTTTAATTTTATACTGGTGAGGTAGAATGTACAACAAGTCAATAAAATAGGAACAAGTATTTTGAACAGAACCAACCCCATCATAATAAATGGAGAAAATACTGAGACAAAACACCGTCCAATTGATGGATCAAATGAGTTGATAGATGCAATATTTCCAGTGCCGAAAAAAGATCCAAAGCTAAATAACAACTATAAAATATTGTCCAATTAGTTTTAACAATTAACTGTACTGGCAAATACTAATATGATCTTTGCTTACGAAAAAAAATGCATGTCTCCATTGAGTCCATAAGGTTTGACTAGAGTCTTCAGATTTAATCATAATTTTTCTCCAACATGCTAATATTATTACTAGAACAATCATGAATAATACTTCCAAGTTTAATGATAGTTGAATATAAGGAATACCCATTGATAAAAGAACTGTTGTTATGTTCGATATGAGATTTGAGGTTTTTCTGATTAAAAACATTGATAAAACTAAAAAAAAATAAACATTTTTAATGTTATGAAGAGTAATTTTCAGAAATATTAAGTATAATAAAATAATATATTACTTGATATTGTCCAAGCAACAATTTGGTTTACTGATGATAACCCTTGTTTATTTTCCATACTACTTGATACATTTACAACATTTGCAATAGCTATGAATAAGAATAATACCTGTAAAAATGTAGTAATCTTACGCACTCCATTTTGGTTTGTGTAGTGCATTACTCCGGCCAATAACAAAATAATTGCACCTACAACACTGGTTTATACATTTTCTATTAATTAACATTCTAAAGGATATATACATTTTAAGTATTTACACATAAATTATATTTGCATGGCCATCAATAATAATTACTGAGGGGAAAGAAGCAAATAATGCAGAAGAACCAAATACTAGAATTATTTGAGAGGGTGAAAATCCTTTTTCTATCGAACAGCAAGTCATCCAAAAGCATAGTATAGATAAGGCTAAAGTTAGTATGCGGCGTTCAAAAAATGTCCACACCTACGATTAAAGAAATAATTGTTAATTGTAAGTTAATCTACTTTTAAGACTATTTTAAATTTACCAATAGTTCAATACCAATCAAATAAAATATTATTTCAAACAATTCTAGTCCTTTAACTTGTATTATCATTTGCTTTATATGTGATAAATTAAATATCTGTAAAATCTTAGTAATACATATGCACCACAGTATTAATGGCATAAATGTGTACACATAAAATTGCATTGGAAGGGATTGGGCTGTAATAGAATCAGTTATTTTAAAATTAAAATCGATTAATTCAACACGGATTCAAGAGAATATTTACCACTAATAACAACTGAAGAACACACAGCAACTGTTAAAAATGTTCCATTGATTAATAACTTATGGAGTCTATTAATTTTTCGACACTTTTTAACAGGATTGGTTTCAAGTATGAGTAGAGTAATCCAACCAAGACTAATAAATGTTATACAAAAAAGAAGTGGTAATTTGTAATATGTATTATAGTAATGAATTCCTTGTAAACTTAAATTTATCCACTCATAACATAGTTTCACCTATAAAACAATTAATCTTTAATAACATTACTTATCAATATTGTAATATTATTGATAAAAAATTACACATTCGTTAGTTTTTGAGAGGTTGATCAAATTTGTAATATCTTGAAGATATCTATCCTGAACACTAGTACTCAGTGATTCATAAGGTGAATAAAATAATTTAAATAATTGTTGCTCAATTTTTACACGTGCTGTTGAAAAAGCAGCATTTAATTGTAGTGCATTAGCCAGAAGATATTTGGCTTGATCTTTAGCATCAGTGTTAAATAAATGTAAAGGTAAAATACCCTAAAAATAATTATAACTGATTATAAATTGTTGTTTAAATTTTTAAATGAATACATACAACTGAATGTACAGGTATAGGTACACCAATTAAAGTAGCCATAAGTGGTGCAACATCAGCTTGATTAACATTCACTGGCAAGGAGTTTGAATGTTTTTGGGCATATGATAGTCCAGCACCCCAGGTAACTATAGGTACTTCAGTTTCGCTAACTGAACCATCACCATGAGAACCTATAAATACAATTAAAGTTTAAGATTAAATAGCTTCTAGACACATCAGTGTTCAAAACTCTTACCCCAATCCGTCATACCGTGGTCAGATGTAAAAACATATGCTGTACGGTTATCTTTATAGTAAGATTCTATTAACTGTTCTATTTCTTTAATACCTTTTTCAATATAAATTAAGTTTTCTAAATATTCTCTAAACATAACATAGTTTATGAACATTAAGGAATATAAACAGGAGCAATAATAAAAATATATTTTAAGAACTTACTTTGAATGTGGTTTGTCAATATGTCCAGAAACATCTGTACCCAAAAGATGTAAAAATAATACTAATTTTTTTTTCATCAGCTTCTTTTGAATCATTTCATCATTTTTTGACTCATCAAAGAACAACTTAACTTTGTTAATTACCCATCCCGACAAAAATACACTAGAACCATTCTTGCCGCTAAAATCTTGTAGATCAGAATCATAGGCATAGGCGTGTACATTTCCCGCAATCGCTCCTATAAAATAACATACAAACAAAATTTAAGTTATTAATAATATAGAAAAATTATGATATTATTACCTTTTTTGAACATTGAAACAATATCTGGACTACCCCAAGAAATGGTTGTATCACTTTTATTAAATACTGAATCAAATTCAACAACATTATCTTTCCATCCCTATAAAATATATTTTTATGTGAAATATTTTTAACAAGAAGTATATTTGTAAATATGTAATACCATAAAAGGTAAACTATTTTATATCTATTATTGATGAGTACCAAATCAATATTATAGGTAAATTATAGATTACTAGCATTCAAAACTTGATATTATATTTTTTTTTTGTTAAGTTATAACATAAATAAATTTGTAAGCAAGTTATCCAAATGCAAGTATCAAAGGCATTACTGATTGACAGTAGTTTAAGCAAAATTACTAATTATATTTATTTTTTTTGTTAGACGTATTATATGCCAATATTTTTAGAAAATAATATCAATGTAAATGGTACAGGGTGTAACTGTAACAGGAAGGCAAGTTAAATAACTTTTGTAATAATCAATATTTTTTAACTTTTTTTGTTTATATTGACTTTTGTGTTACACTTTATGATATAATTTTTTTAATACTGAAAATAAAAAATGTTAAATCTAATTAAAATTTATTTTGAAAAATAAAAATAGCCAATTAATAAATTTGGTTATCAGAAAACTTTTGATTGTAAAAACATTTATCTAAGTCAAATGATTTATTTTCTATGATTTTTTTTAATGTCAACATTTTTATAGTTATACTCATTAATTTTAAAAGTAATCTCTTAAAAAAAATTTTAACAAAGATTTTGACAAGAACCTTTTGAAAATTCTCATAAAATATTTAAAACATATTTATACTTTTTGAATTTAAAATGTTTTTTTATGAAGATTAAATTTATTTAAGTTCACGGCGGATGACGCCAAATGACGTCATTTTGCATAGTTTGCATATGCTGAATGACGCCAATTAGCGTTATATACCTTGTTATTTAATGGACTATAATTTGGTCAGTGTTACAATTAAACTTTTGTTTTTTTGTCAGGATCTTCTAAAAGGATTTTTTCATAATCAAGTGCAAACCGTACAGTGATATTTTAATTTAACAGTTTTTAGCAAATTTTTTTTTAAAACTAGAATTTTTTTAACATCACGACAAGTATACAAAAATATGATCCGCAGTGAATGTGTTACAAAAAAATTTTTAAAAATAAACTATATGACTTAACAAATGTTTATAATGATCGTTACATCAGATTTAAAAATTTTTATTTTCAGTATTAAAAAATAAAATGAGAATGTTTTATTATACATGTGGCGAAAATGTTAATAAAATATATATACAAGAAAAATTTTAAAAATATTGATTAGAGCAAAAGTTAATTTATTTGTCAGGTCTTCCTGTTGAATCGAGGTAAAAAAGTCCTAGGAAAAAAGTCCCGTTAAAATAGTCCAAGGCATAAAAAGTGCGGAATATTATATTATATACATAACAATATTTAAAATAATTAAAAACAAATTCATTTGTTATAATAATTATGTACTTAGTATTATAACCAAAAATAATCAAAATAATTATTACACACAAATGAAATATACATAATATTATATTACAATGATAATGATATCTTAATTAAATTGAGTATTAACCGAGGTATTAACTATTGTCACATAAAATATTATATATTTAAAAAATAATCAATTATTATAATAATTATGTACTTAGTATCATTACTAGGGTTCGGGACTTATTGCACACAAATTATAGGAAATATGCATGCACATATGCACTTAAAATAACCGAAATATGCACAAAAATATGCAATTGAATATTTTTTTTTAAATTAAAAAATTTGATTTATTCATTTAAATTTAGACCTTCTTTTGTAATTAGTCATTTTTTGACTACAATAACACTATCAACATTATATTACTGAAGTGTATGTTCGATTTCATTTTCTTCGTCTTCTCCTACAATAAAAAAAAGGTTGGGTTTTTCTTTAATAATAATTTAATATAAAAACGATGAATTGTTTACCTATAAAGTTTGACTGTACAATTAGACATTAGAAAAGAGATATTGAACAACGCATGAAAATAAAAAAAAATAAAGTTAACCTTTAAAATAAATGTACTTAACGTAAAACAAAAACTGCGTAAATATGCTGTAAATAACAATTAAACTGCCAAAATTTGTCAAATATGCATTTTGCTCAGAAAACGACAAAATATGCAAAAATATGCAATTAAAATTTTTGTATTTCAATCCGTTATGACTTAAAACAAATTTAAATCTTACTTGGACTATTCTGCAGTCATTATTAAGCAATATGCAAATGCAACAATTCCCGAACCCTAATCATTACCTATATAAAAAATGGAAATAATATATTAAATTGAGTTTTAACTATCGCCATATAAAATATAATATATTTAATGAAAAAAATTCAATGTTTATCTAGTATTATGACTTATCAGTGTAATTAACTAACTGTCATCAAAAAATAATATTTTTAAAAAAAATTTAAATTTTGTCAGGTAAATAATTTAGTTACAATTTATATTAAAACTAATTGGAAGTTTGATAGTGCATCATATTGTATTTTTCCTATTACCTAATTATATGTACCAAACTTTTTATGTTTTGGACTTTTTAACCACAGACTCTTTTACTTGGACTTTTATTCCTAGGACTTTTTTACCTCGGACTTTTTGGTAGTATACCCTTTCCTGTTACACTCTGTATTTGTGAGGATCAAAGTAGATATAAGATCTTCTATAACAATATTAAACAATTTCATAATAGGTACTTTAAAAATAGCTGATGGATCTTCATAAAATCCAGCTATAAGAGCTATATGACCAGGACGTGACTCAGTTGGCACTCGAGTACGGCATATACCATATGTAGCACTGGTTTTCAACAAATGCCTGAAAAATATTAAATAATATTAATAATAATAATAATAATAATAATAATAATAATGAAATTAAAACAATGTTAGTAAATTTGTTATTGGTTGGTACTTGAAATATAGGCTATTTCCATTGGCATAGTTGTAAAACGTATCTGCACGTAATCCATCTCCGACAAATAGTACTAGACGATCGGCCGGTGGTTCATAATCGACATGCTGGTCTGGTATACCACTAATGATTGGCGATTTGAAATAAATATCAAAAATAGAAAGTAATAATATCAACTGAGCAAATAATCCCAGTATAAAAATTTTCAAATTAACCATGATTTTTTCCTTTTTAAAATAATTTAACACTTTGTAGTATGTATTATATGTGCATAAAATATATTAAAAATGTAATCTATACTGTGCAAGTATTTCCATCAGAATTCACAGATACATTTAAAATAATTTAATAATAATAAATAATAATTAATAATGTCAAAATCCATATTAAATACACATTACACACCACTACAATAAATTATAGTCACTCAGTCCGTCGGTCCTCAATTCTGAATGTTTTAAATAATAAACATAAATTATAAATATCTAATAAATAAATAATATATTTACTATTATTTATATTATAAGCTATTTACTTTTTAGATTTATTATTTTGTAAACTGATAAATGATAATCACGATTTAAGATAATATTATAGTAGATCGTCAAATGACTCTCCAAATCAGCTGTGGAACCACTGACTGGCGACATCTAGCGGTATTTATGTGGAAACTCATCAATTCAAAAAGTAGGGCCTTACAAAAAGTACTTCCGTTGTTGTTCTATGGTCGTATGCTCGTATACAATTATTGGATCGGCTTAACACTTTATATTGCTAGATGGCGCCAGTCAATAGTGTTCCAGAGCTGTTTTGGCGAGTCAATTGTTCTATGATTTGACGGTCCCCTTATCTTAGTCGTGGTAAATCGTAAATCTCAAATCGTGATGAAAACAATATTCTTATCAATTATCTAAAAACTATTTTAATTTTATTGTTAAAGTTTAAATGGTTTAATGAAAAATAATAGAAATTTATAATATTTTTGCAGTGTCGAAAGAAAAAATAAAAGCTGACCGTGGTGTTAAACTTGCATTGTCTTCCGGTTAAATTGTTAATTATTAAAAAAAAAGTGATTCAAATAATACAGCCATGAATAATTCGAGTGCCGAAGGTTTACCTGCCGTTATAGAAAGTTCGGATTCGTTTGACAGCGGCATAAAAAGTTCTTCTCGATCCCCATCGTTAACATCCATGGACAGATGGCCTATATTTTTTTCATCTTCCAGAAAATCTAGACCAGAACGAAAATGTCCTAAACGTAAGTCATGTATACAATAATTTCAATGTAATGTAAATGGTAAATCTAATCTGTGTTTAACAGTTATCAACCATTATTTCTTTATGGAAAAACCATTCGTCCCTCAACAATACTATAACCGTACACTGAATACTTCATTTTTCTAACTATGTAGAAAATATCAATCAATTTAGTAAGCTAACTTTAGCCAACTAGGTAATTGATAATATAAATTGAGCACTTAACAAGATACTGTCAATTCATATGGAATTACAAATATATAATGCATTGTGAATTTATCTTTAGTATAAATGTACCTTTAAGAAGTATTTTAAAATTACTACGAAATAAGCAATATAATTTTAAAAAAATATCGGAATAATTCAGTCCATTGGGGTCTTTTGCAATTTGTAACAACTAGTAAAGCTATTACGTATATTATACAGACATATAGTAGTTATAACTTGTAGTTCTCGTTGTTTGTTAACAAGAATATCAAGATTTAAACTACGCTAACCCAGTAGGTTATTTTAAGATAAAGATCTCTTGTCTTTTAGCTGTAACAAAATCGATGATTACATTTTATAAGCATAAAATTGTTTGTTATATATAAAAGAAGCAAAAAAGTTATACACATTGAAATTAGACTATTTAATGAATATAGACTAGTAAGAATTTGGTTATTTTATTTTAATTAAAAATTGTTATACCTATACCTGAGACAGAGCCTATATAATATACCTACTTATAGGTACATAACTTATAAGTTATAAGTGTTTACAAATAATTTATATTAAATAATTATAATTTTATCAGTTATTTATTATTCAATTGAATAACATTAATTTGTTATTAGAGAATACTGGTATTTTGACCAATAAAATAATCACTAGGTAGAACCAACCTACTTCTCCACTTCCTTCTCAACAATTCCCATATAAAAAATTTACAATTTTTTATTCTCAGTGAAAATTATTGAACATTTTAAAAATCTAATGGAAAAATTTATTTTATTTGATTACCTACTTAATTAACAATAATTATATTATGAGTGTTATTGTAATTTTTAATTTTATTAAAAGTGAGACCACATTTATTTTTTGATTTGCTAATGTGCATAAAAAATATTTTTAAATACTTAATTGTTATGTGAAAATTGTAACAAAGCCAAATAGAGAGGTTGTGTAGTCTTAACACTATGACACTAGACATTTTGTTTAAATTTGCATAAAATTAGGATTATCAAATTGCCGTTTTTCTATCTTGATACCTACCAAAACCTTTTTTCTTATAATCCCATAAGCGGAAATTTGGTGAAACTACTGGGGGGGCTGAGCATTATAATATGCTCATTACATCTATAGATACCACTGTAGTAGAGCCGCTCGCAATTGTTTATTTCAACAAGAAATTTTACAAAGTTTGACATACCATAATTTGACCATAATTAAGTACAAAAAAAATTATGTGCTTTATCTTTAACATTTTAGAAATATTCCAAACAGAAATTATTAAGTTATTAATTTAGAATTTAGAATTATAACCAATGGCAGATTTAAGGGTTCAAATAAAGTCGGCTAATCCATAAGAGGTGCCTGGTATAAAATGTATAAGTCACATACTTACCCCCATAGCATATTAATATGTAATTTCATCAAAACCGGGACGATGCGCGACACGCTGATAAACAACCTATGGAGGTTTTATTACTTATTATTAATACTACATAATTACGATTGTTCCAAATTACGATAATAAGTTAGTAAAATCTTACAAATTTTATTTTATTTTATCACAGAATATTTTTTTATAATTTATTTTTTAATTCAGTAATTAAATATGAATTTTACAATTATAACAATTATTGTATATTTAGTCATTTTAAAATTTTGTAGGCCAGGGGGGCTAACAACTGTACTTTGAACTTCTTTTGGGGGATCCCCTCGATATACACCAACTGAAAATATTTAACACTCTACTCTCTTTATAAAAGATTACCAAAGCAGGACAGCCCTTGCTTGAATAAAATCTTAATTATTTTACTTATTATAATATGACACTCCCTCGTATATTCCGGAATTAAATAACTCAACCTCAACCTTCTATAAAAACAGCTGTTTTCTTTTAATATCATTTTATTTTTAGCACTAGATAAAATAACCTACGGTGTACCTATTATTGTCTTATTATATTATAATTGAAAATTACAACACTATAAAAATCACCTATTTTGGTTATTATAGTAAAAATAAAATACATTAAACTAATTACCCAGCTAGGTAATGCTTTTTTCTTTACAGATATATTACATAGAATACAATTGCAATAAGGTATATTTAAGTGGTAAAATGAATTCTTCATAGTATTTTGATTTGTATTTATTACATATTTAATGTATATTTTTCAGTGTTTTGTAATATTAAATTGTACGGTCATAGTGCTCAGTGCCTCCATTGGTAAACATTTTTGGGATTTTAGTCCTCGTAAATTTGTGAAATAAGAGAAAATAATTAATTAAATATTTATTGTAATACTTTTTAAGTTTATTACCTTAAGATGTGTTCACGGGTGTTAAAATAACTTAAAATTAAAGTTTTTAATTTATTGTGTTTGTCAAGAGGCTTATGAAACAGTTTCAAATAATTGCATACAAGTTTTTGCATATTATCGTTTAATAATAAATACCTATAACCTTGATGATCGACTAATTAACAAATTAATGTATTAATAGAGCTCTGATTTTAAAGCATAATAAATAACAAAAAAACCCCAAAACTGTTTTAAAAAAGCAAAAAAAGCATGACTTAACATGGACTGGGTATAAAAATGAATAGTAAAAATTATTTTTAATTAAAAAAAGAAATTTACTACCATGTATTTTGATAGATTTGCTGTAGTGAAACTGCCTTTATTGTCCGATAGGATGTTTTTATACATAGAAAATGAATGCTCTACATCAGTGGTCACCAATTAATATTTTTAGTTGGCCACATTAGAAATCTGAAAATTTTTCACGAGCCATTAAGATTCTAAGTACATATTTTCAACATATAATAGGACAATAGGTATTATTTTAAAATTGGATGTAATAAGAACATTATTTTTTTATTTATTATTTGTTATTGTTTTGAAACATTAAAAACATAATTAATACTACAAACATTTGGAAAATTTAAAATAAAAATTAATTATATAAATACAATAAAATAGAAATTTGTTTAGTGAGAAAAATGACAAATCTTGCTCTCAACTAACTGTTTAAATTCACCCAATGACCCAATTAAAGTTTAGATAAGATATGCTTTGGTACCAATTTATCAACAGTTGTCGGTGAATCGGTGAAAAATAATAATATTTAACAAAAATAATCATTTACAACAATAACACAGAATATAGATTATAGAATGTTGTAGTAATATGTGTTTTTATTTTTTGTCTGCGGGCCAGATAAAATTTGGTGACTCATGCTCTACATCCACTGCATAGATCGGTGCATACTTCATATAAGATGTTTCGTTTAAAATTTTAAATCAAGCCCATGTTAATTAATTTTGTTTTATGAAACAACACACAGATTATTATTAATTGTTTCCCATTTTGCTTTTTAAAATAACACAATTTTGTTTACTCGAAATTGCAGTTGCAATAACTCCATTAGCTTCATTCAACTTCTTTTATGCATTTAAGACAATATTTATACATCTTGTTAACGACTCGCCTAAAATTATACATATAATCAATATTAAATTGTTTCAATACTTTGTTTAAAGTTACCTTTTCCCACTAATGATGTAATAATATCTGGTAGAAATCCAACGTTTGTTGAAATATACACAAGATTTGATTGAAGAGATAGTACTTTTACACTACTTTGACACATTGAGATTCTTCTTGAAAGTCTTAATACATTTAAAAATCAAGCCGGTAACGAAAACAATAATAATCCAATGTAACCATTTAGTCCGTATTCGAGGTTTTTAT